CAGTTATCAGAGGGAATTTTCGGTATCAGTATGTGTTTCGGTATGAGTTTCTCTCCCGTATGAGAGTTTCCCATAATCTTGATTCATATAGGAGATGATGCAAATGTGGTATACACATTTGTTTTTAGGTTGCCAAATTTTTATTTTTTATCCGATTAAATTGAAATTTTGCACTTAACATGCTACATGTGTTGTCTTTCCATGTATCAAATTGAAAATAATATTATTCTAACAATTTAAGAGATATTTGAGAAAATATTTGAAATCCCATAAGAAGTGATTTTAAAAAAAGTGCAGGTAATGTGGTATACCACATGATGTTAATGTGGTATAGTATAATTTTCACTTCCAATTGATATCTTATATAATTTATTGTTTTTAATGAATGCGAATTAGCTCGAGATTTATGTCTGTTAAGATTTTTAACGGATACGTTGAGTGCAACTTTAATTTTTATTATATAATAATGTCTACACATGGCAATATTTAATTTTTGTATGGAGAAGTTGTTAAAACTCATAGCCTTTGTTTTTCATCCTTGTGATTCATGGTAGACTCTCGTAGAGTACAAATGTTTCACATAGTAATGAGATTTTGTCTAGTGCTGGCCTTTTTTCATGCAGAATCAAGGTATACCACATTACCTACACTTGTGTTTACTGAAGAAATGTCTAGTTTTTTTCCAAATTTGTGATTATGTGGAGCTATCGCGCACATTATTTGATTTTTAGTTCATACTGATTATTTTAATGCTTTAGTAATAACGATTAAAGTACATCCGTAAAATTAAACTTCAACCGAAAAAAAGTCAATTTCATGAAAAATTTTATTTTTGGTACTGATTCTCAACGTGATTTAAATAAATTAAACAGGTCATTGCTATCTTATTTTTTTGAGAACAGCAAACTATAGAACATGTTTCAATTATTTTAAAATTTTCAGTTTACAAAAAAAGTGACTATACCACATTACCAACCTATACCACATTTGCATCACTTCCACTATATTCGATCTCAGTTAAGCTCTATATTTTATTTGGATATCAATTGGATGTATATACACTATAGTCTCTAAAATCATTGTCCGACATATACCTAGGCAACATGTTACATTACATGGACATGGTGGACACCAATGAATCCAGTGTATAATTTTTTCATTGAAATACAATTTAGAGGGTATGACCTTCTGCAAAAAGACAATTATCGATAGACCTTGTCGACCTGTTTATGACTCCCAGATATATAACATTATTTGATTTTGTTTATTTTTATTTCTTTTTGGTAAAAATAAATATCTTCGTCTTGTCCGGATCAACGTTGCGGCCCCTCAGCATCACCGATTTCAGCCTTTCATTCCTAAAAATAAGTACGAATATTATATATCCCAGAAAATAACAATAAATGGCGAAGTTATTGAAATAAGTGGCGTTTATTACATTTTTACACTTTATACAAATATATGAATTTATCGACGTTGTATCTTTTTGACAGTCGAAACCATAATAATTCGTGTCACGGTCCGTGCCTCAAAAACTTTCCAAATATAGCCAATACGTCGTGATAGCCCAATGTAAAGACCAATATTTAAAATTGTCTACGAAGATGTTCTCTACCTATTAGCAACACAGAATTCAAAAATTTAAAGTCAGACCTTCGGATATGGCTAAATCGACATAGAATTTTATTCTGAGAATATCGCTAAAAATAAAACTAAAGGAACTGGCAAGGATCAGTGGCGAGATTCGAAACTATAGTTTTCCTGCCTCATCCCCTGGTGAACAATGTCATAGTTTTTTAAAACCCATTTCAAAAATCGTGTCATATTTCCATTCAAAAGAACATATGTCGTGCCAATTTTGCACCGGTTACCTGAAAGATATTTTTTTTATTTAAATAATATATATTTTTAATAATTTGAAATTTTTCAATATTTCATCTATAGCTATGCACCCATTATCATGTCATTACAATAAGCCCTTCATACACATCTGCTGTCATAAGATGTCATTGTTTATTTCCTTGATATTCTTTTTTTTTGTCCCTTGTCAGTGTCTTTATCATTTCATATGTATATTGATGGACATCAACAAATTCTATCACACACATAATCCAAGTATAAATAAATTCACTTGATAATAGCCTGCGATTAAGCAATAAACATGTTTCTACTTTGTGACTTATTTTTGTTGATGAAAATATTTACAACAATAAAAAAAGAACTCCAAAGAACCCAAATCAGTCGACAAATGTGATATTTCGTTTCTGTTTCATTTCGATTTTTTACGAGTACAAGGTGGTTGTTGACGTCATAATATGTGGCCAATGTGGTGATTGGTGTGTGCGGTCGGTCGGTCAATGGGCCGTATTTCAGCCATTACATTAAGAAGAAACTGAAAACGTTTTTTTTTCTGTTTTTACAAAATGCAGACTAACAAAACGTGAAAAAACACTTTCAATCAAAGACAACAAAGATAAAAGTACGACATCAACGAATTTCATAAAACTCACATGTCACTCATGTGTATGTTTGGACACATAGCATTAGTTAAACAAAATATAAAACAAAGAAAAAATAATCAAAATACATTTCTGTAAAAAAAAATATTAAAGAAAACCCAGCGAAAACATTTAATATGGAATAGTGTAATAGTCAATACAAATTTATTGTTCTATATAATGAAAACCAGTAAGGAAACTAGTATAGTTGGACTGGGCCGACAATATGATACCCTTCACCACTTTGGGTATATTCTACGTATGTATCCTAAAAGACGTCGCCTTTTTGAAGAAACATTGACATGATTTTGAACGAACTTAAATATGTGATCTTTATATATATGTAAACCGACTAACATCAATTCCAAAATATGCCATTCTGCAACCTATTCTAAATTTTTATAATAGATTTAAAGCAAAATTTACACACGCTATTTGGTATGCTTCACTGTTTAAAATGTACCAATCAGGTTTGGTGTATAGTCAAAATGAATAGGTCGAAATTATATATGGAAGATAATCTGAACCGATTTCAAGGAATCTTGCTAGATATTAATTTTTATTAATTTCTATACGTTTTGCCACTCGGCCTAGGTATGGGCCTTTAGTGTACCATTTACTTAAAATCGTCACAGGAAAGGTTATAGTAACAGTAAATTGTACAAAATTGTGTGCCGATCGGCCAATCTTAGGGTCTTTAGGGCACAATTTAAATTAAATCGGTCGGAAATATATATTGAAGCTATATCTAAATCTGAACCGATTTTCACGAAACTTAGCACGCATCAATCTGGACCGAATTCAGTACTCTGTGCCAAATTTCGTGCAAATCGAAAGATATATAGGGACATTGGTGCACCATTTACCTTAAATCGGACGAAACTATATATGGAAGCTATATCTAAACCTGAACCGATTTTCTCGAAACTTGGCACACATCATTCTGGACATAATTCAGTATCTATGCCAAATTTCGTGCAAATCGAAAGATATATATGGACTTTGGTGCACCATTTACCTTAAATCGGACGAAACTATATATGGGAGCTATATCTAAATCTGAACCGATTTTCCCATTTTCAATAGGGTTCGTCCTTGGGAAAATTAAGTGACCTGTGCCAAATTTCATCCAAATCGGATCATAAATGCGACCTGTACTTTGTTAACAAAAATACATGGACGGACGGATGGACGGACAGACGGACGGACATGCATAAATCGACTCAGAAAGTGATTCTATGCATATTCTCAAAAGGAACCATTGGTCTATCTCGATTATTTTTGCCTGTTACAAACATATCCTCAAACACATAATACCCTGTACCACACTGTGGTGAAGGGTATAAATATCGTTTCTTTCTCACCATAAGGCGAGGTGTTATTCCATTTGCAATAACGGCACGAACCCATTCTATATATTTATGGAGGTTCCAGAAGAAAAGAGCCGGCGGTTCCCATTCATTTCCATTTGCCTGATATTGGATGTGTTAATATTGAAAATTGTGACCATTTGTGGGGGATTATCAGAAGGAGTGAATCAATGGGTCCCATTTTCGGACTTGATCTAGGCTTGGTAAAGATAATTTTTTGTACAAAGTTTTAGTTAAAATCGGATAGTCCGTTCGCATGATATTGGATTAATAAATATCGAAAATTTGAGGCGGAGGTACCAGAAGTCGTGGGCCAATGGGTCCCATCTTCGGAATTGATGTAGGTTTGTTAAGATAATAGATTGTCCAAAGTTTGGTCCAAATCAGACATTTCATTCAACTGATATTGGATTTATAAATATGGAATTTTTTTATCATTTGTGGGGATGTACAGGAAGGAGTGGATCAGGTGTGGACGTCATCATAAAGATTATAGGTTGTATAAAAGTTGGTTCAAATCGGATAGTCCGTTCCCATGATACAATAAAATAGATTTTCAGCTAAGTTTAGACCATTTTGTAGGAGAGAGTGTGGACTGATATTCCCCATCTTCAAACTTGAACTAAGTTTGGGAGAAATATTTCGTTGTGCAGTAATTGAATGAAATCGGTTACTTCCTTCGAGAGTCGTGCGCACCAACCGGCCACACAGACGGACGGACATTCGGAAGTAGATTCCAAATTGTCTAAAACGGATTTAGTCCAATGAAGAGTGGGATCTAACCCATATAAATATCCCCTTTAATTATGTCCTACCCCCCGAATTTCAAGCTGGGTGTCTCGAATTCGGAACATTATTTTTGCACAGCATGAATAACCTACTACCAAATAATGCTATAACATAGTCCCCATATAAAGATCCCAATCGATTTAAGGAATTTTGAATGCGCACCCCATGTTAGAGGGCATCGAATGTTCTTTCGAGCAGGACTTAACGAAGTTTTTTACTTGTTTTTATCTGAGAATTTGATCGCACCATTTAATTTAAATACAAATTTTAACATACACACGAATATATGCAATCACATTGTTAATCTAAATGTCCCTCACTTTTTTTCTTTTCTTGTTTGCAGCTGTAACACCGGACATAAATGTACCCCAAAGGCCCAATCATTTGGAATTGATACCGCAAACGAATCTCAGTAAATCTGGAAGTTTAGTGGTAAGTACTAGTCACACATACAATCCATGAGGGCATATACTCGTACATACATATCGTTTATGCCCTGCATACATTTACATAATTCCATGAACAATTTTCGGTGTATGGAGTAAACAAGCACCAATGACCACACATATCCGTATAATGCCCCTAAGTGGTGTAAAGTTGAACATCATACAGACAACACTCTCACACACACACACGCATTTGGAGCAATGAGGTGCCATAACATGTTTGACAATCACTTGAGGCTGCTTGCATTTTAATGATATATGTGCATACATTCATATACATATGTATGTGTGAATATTGCTAGATAAAATTGTTGTAATTCAACCAGGACATTGAATGTGTATTGGAGGAAAAATAGGACATCGATTTAGTAGATCAAGAGATATTAAGGTAGAATACCACAATATACACAGAATTTTGTAGGTGCACACAAAAGTTGTAGAATATTACGTATCTACAAAATTTGGAACAAAAAAAAATATTTTATGACACTGTGCAACACAAAAAATACTTTACAGGAAATTCCAAAAATTTAAAAATAGAAGACGTGTGTATTGGAATTTTGAAAGATTACATCGGAAGGTAACCTAAAAAGGCGTGGCTACATTTCCCCCATTTCCAAGGCATTTGCATAATATTCGAATTACGGTTTTTAGAAATCGTTGCTATTAAGGTATAAGGAGGAGAGAACTAATTTAAAACGTGGTTATATCAGTTCCAAATATTCTACAAAAATGTACGTCATAAAGTGTTTTTATAAGTCTCAGAATAGACCAAAACTAGAAAATCAACCTAAACGTCAAAAATCTTAAAAATTTGAAGAAGGTATATATAATTTATATACTGAATATATAGACGTCAATTTAGAACAAAAAATTCGAAAAAAATGTAATGGAATATAAAGAATGGAATATTCTACGACAATTTTCACTATGAGTTTCAAAACAAAGTTTTTATTTAAATTAAATAGTTTTTTAGAAATTCTGTTTTGACTTTTGTAAGTTTTTATTGAACACCTTGCAAATGTCAATATCTTCAATAAGATTACATCTAAGAAGTATTTCGTCAAGGGTAAAATAATTCTACATTGAATTTCACTATTAGTTACAAAGGAAACGATTTTTGAAAACTCGATATTTATTTGTAAAAAAATTCTCTATTTTTATACCCTTCACCACACTGTGGTAATGTCTTTGTGCATATGTTTGTAACAGGCAAAAGGAAACGAGATAGACACATGGTTCCTTTTGAGAATATGCTTGGAATCACTTTCTAAGTCGATTTATGCATGCCCGTCCGTCTGTCTGCCCATGTTAAATTGTAAACAATTAACATGGGCAGAATGAATTAGATGAAATTTGGCACAGCTCATTCATTTGGCCCAAGAACGAACCCTATTGAAATTGAATAAAATCGGTTCAGATTTTGATATAGCTCCCATATAGACTTTCGTCCGATTTAAGGTAAATGGCGCACCAATGTCCCTAAATTACTTTCGATTTCCACGAAATTTGGCACAGCGTACTGAATTAAGCCCGGAATGATGTGTGCTAAGTTTCGGTTCGGATTTAGATATAGCTCCCATATATATTTTCGTCCGATTTAAGGTAAATGGTGCATTAATGTCCCTAAATTTCTTTCGATTTGCACGAAATTTGGCACAGCGTAGTGAATTAAGACTAGAATAATGTGTGCTAAGTTTCGTGAAAATCGATCCAGATTTAGATATAGCTCCCACATATATTTTAATCCGATTTAAGGTTAATGGCCCACCAAAGTCCCTCAATTTTTTCGATTTGCACAAAATTTAGTACAGTATAGAATTATGTCTGCTAAGTTTCGTGAAAATCAGGTCAGATTTAGATATAGCTCCCATATATATTTTAGTCCGATTTAAGGTTAATGGCCCACCAAAGCCCCTAATTTTTTTCAATTTGCACAAAATTTGGTACAGCGTACTGAATTAAGTATAGAATGATGTCTGCTAAGTTTCGTGAAAATCGGGTAAGATTTAAATATAGCTCCCATATATATTTTCGACCGATTTTACATAAATGGTGCACCAAACTCCCAATGTTTTTCTGATTAACACGAAATTTTGCACAACGTATCAAATTGAGACTTGAATGACGTTATTGTGTTTTGTTGAAATTCGTGCAGATGCAGCCATAGCCTCCATATGTATTTCGATCGGATTTCTGATTGAGATTGCATTTTTTTATAGTGCGGCATACCGAATAGCGTGTATCAATTTTGCTATAAATCGTTTTCCACAAAATTTGTCCCATGGTACGCAGACGACTCTAAATCTGCCCGAATGAAATTAAATTTATAAAAGATTGCAGAAAGACATGAGTATGTTCCTTCGAGGGAACATTGACATACAATTGTAAGGATACATATCGACGCCTCCGAACCATAGTATGCTAAGTCTGAAAAGTGGGTTTTTCAGTGGAAGCTTTCAAAGTATGGAAGTTTCTTTTATCGTGCGTGCCATGCAAAGTACATTTTTGCTTATAACTTTGGTTTGGATTGGCTGATGATTACCAAAATTTCAGTGAATTTAAATTAAGGACCGTCGTATCTAAAAACGTAAAGAAGTTTAAAACATGCTAAGTCGACTTAGCATACTATGGTTCGGAGGCGTCGATATGTACAATATACCATATAGTCGGCCCAGACCGACTTTACTACTTTCCTTACTGGTTTTATTTTAGATTATGTTCATATTCACTGAATTTTTTCTTACTAATTTCAATATGAAAAATATTTTTTTTTTCAAATGTGTTTCACTTGAAACCCAAAGTTCATTTACCGTTCAACAAAACATTTACCAACAATTACAAAAAAATGAACGTTGCAAGTTCGTGTAAAAACTCTTTCATAAATATTATGATAAACTATAATCAAAACAAATCGACTTACAATACAATAAAATACAAAACTTAGAAATTTGAAATACATATGAATCGTTTTTGGCTGGAAATTAAACATACCTACATACATATATCGTTTGATTGAAATGCCAGATAAACAAAATCGTTGAACTTTGATGTTAGAATAGTATTGAATTTAAAAATTCCATTCCATTCGCACAAATGTAAACAAATGTTGCTATGAAACATTTCTATTTAATCGAAATGAAAAATAGAAATCAAATTAAATGTGTGATTTGCAATTGGCCAAAGGAAAACCAAAAACATGCTATCATCATCAGCAAATGAACACCTGATGTGAAGGCGTCAGCTATTAGATAAATAAAAATCCATTTGTATGCAGGCGATTAAATGTAAAAATGCATGCTAATTTATATGGGAAAAATAATGGAAATGATATATTTGGTTAATTCTAAAATAATTTAAAAATAAAATAACTGTGCCAAAAGAGTGATATTTTTTGGTCTGCCACTTTTTGTACCCTGCAACATTAGATGAGGAGGGTATATTACTTGTATATTTACGAATATATCGAAGCCGTCTTTACAATAAACAAATAAATTTTCTTTGTGTAGCCTCCATATAACTGATTAGCCTCCAACTACATTTTCTTAACAAATATGTCCCTCTATTCCTTGGGTATTGACAATTGCATGTATAAATTGCACTTTTTATGGCACCGCCAATTTAACGCTAGTTACCAAGATATCGTTATAGTTAGGATAACTGTTTCAACCAAATCAGCTTTAATTTTATATTTTTGATTATCATTGAGTAGAAAATCTCCCTACTAAAAATTATCCATATCCGTATACGACTACCCCCACATGATTTGTTTTATTCATAGAATTGGCTCTAATTTTTTAAGGGGACCCCCCATTCTCGGCGTCAACATTTTTTTTAATTAAATTCGAAGACGAAAGTGAAAATCTCAAGAACTCTTGAGGATATAGCCGATTTATTGTGTCAGCACCAAGTGACGGCTAAAGGGCTTCTCAAACTTTAAACACGTTTTTCTCTCTTGCGAATGGCGGGCACGATAACTCAAAAACTAATAACCCAATAGATTCCAAATTTTCACACGTTTCTCTGTGAGTGTATAGCTATGCTAGGATAAAGCCAATCGGTGAAGATCTTCCTTATTTTTTAAATTGGTGTTTGGTTAAAAATCGGCGATTTTCCCAAAATATTTTTTCAAAGGTCCGTCATTTTGTGTGCAAAGTCAAAAATCCTAGTTCATACGAGAGCCAGACATGTCCTCTTTCTAACACCGTTGGAATTTTCGGATTCCGATGTTCCAGTGAGGAGTTATCATGCCCGCCATCGAAAATAAGGACTTTTTTGTAACACAAAAAACAAAACAACAACAAACAATTTTGGTAAATTATTGTTCTTCCTTTTTAAATCTTCAAATATATATGTGCAAACTTACAAACCTTAACAAGCATTGGTATTCATTTAACAGCCCATTTAAAATCATAAAAATAAAAAATCGTGAATGGGGGGGGGGGGGGGGGGGTTACCTTAAGGTAATCTACCTACACATATATAGAAAATATTAATATAGTTCTATGCTTTGACATAGCCCCCATATAAAGGTCATACAAGATTGCAATGGCTGTAAATTGGCAATGTTGTCTATATAAGACCATGTTTAGACATAAATTTTCGTTTGTTTTTATCCGAATCAAAGTGGATATAATAATATATATATAATGGCATATTCAAGATGAAACTGAATATTATTTTCGGTCTTCTGTATGGGGACTATTTCAAATTGAAAATTCAAATTACCGGATAATCTGGAATACCGTTGTATGACGGCTATTCTAAAAATATTGGCCAATATTTATAATTCTAAGCAGAAATATGTGCTATTGAATGTGATTTCGAAATACAGCCAATTCGGATGAATAATTTATCCATAATTCCCAAAATACCGAAATTTAGGAGGTAACGTTATTTGGTGCCAAAATACAGTCAATTCGGTTATAAAACGGGCTCATAATCCCTAAAATATAGTGCCGTTATATGGGGGCTATCCCAAAAAGTTAACGAATGTTGATAATTTTTAGTAGTGATACTTACTTACTTACAAAATACCTAAAATTGTGAGATATTTGTGGGAAGATGTGTTATGAATTATAACACAGTAGGGGAGACTGGGGCACCTTCGGCATTTTTTTAGAGCTCTATATTTCAGTACTTATTCAACATATATAACAACTTTATGGCTGATTATTGTCATTTGACACTTAATTATAAAAAATAGTACCAAAAAGATATAAAAAAATAGTTTTAGTTAAAAAATTTTACAGTTTTGTAAAAAAAGTCAAATTCGCCGAATGTGCCCCAACCCGGGGTAGCTTCGGCATTTGATGGGGCACATTCGGCACCATAGTCATAGCCGGATAATTGTCATCGCTATCAGTCTGGTTCAAATTCTGATCCTCTAAAGGCTCTATTTGGTTTTAATACGCCACATAATGTTTGAATTATAGGGCTTTATTTTCTAACGGCGGACGTTTACATCTCAAGGTCGCACATACCATCAGAAATAGGGTTTTCTATCACATTTTCGTCAATACAAGCACGTTTGATCTTATATATGCAATTTCGAACCATATTAAAGGATTAGTTTTAAAGACAAACTCAAAAACATTTTAAGGAAATAATATTGCACAATCTGTATATGGCCGAATGTGCCCCACTTTAAAATGCCGAATGTACCCCGAATTTTATTTTTTAATTTTTTTCGATCAGTTTTGTAAAAACATTATACTTTTAAATATTTCTATAATAATACACATCGTAGTTAACCACTTTTTAATAATATTGTCTTAAAAATGTAAAAAGTTTTATACACAAAATACTTACGAAATGGAATTGAAATATTACAGATGCCGAAAGTGCCCCAGTCTCCCCTACCTAATTACAGTTAACACCGTTGAAAAACGTCTCCAAAGTACCGAACATTTGGATGCACCGTTATATGGGGTCTATGATAAAAAGTGGGCCAATATTAACCATTTTTGTTAGGAACATGTATTAGCGTATGGGAACCCAGAAAACCAAATTGAAGACAATTCTATTGAAAAACGTGCCAAAAAATCTCAAAATACCAAATATTTGAGTGTGCCGTTGTATGGGCGCATTACTAAAAGGTGGACCGGTATATCCCATTTTTAATACCAAACATCCTAGGAGTTATAGGAATGTATGTGCACAATTTTAAAGCCCTGTCATAAACAGACGGACATTATTAAATGGATGATAGAGAATATGGGTATTTTGTGGTGTAGCAAACGGAAAGGCAAGGATATAAAAAATATCAAACTACCGAAACTTAGAAAAATCGGTTTCGAAAAAAATATATTTTTTATATTCATTAAAAACCCACAATATATTTCCACCATATGTTCTTATTTATTTACAATGAATGGCGTTGATTGAAACCAAAACACAAAATGGGAGACCGCTGTGCTAAAAATAAAATAATGCCTCGCTGATAGATGTTCAGACATAAATGTTAATTTTAATTGTATTGGTCATTTGCTCCAGAGCAACAAAAACAAAAATTCTTTGAAGTCAACAAAAATTACCAAATTGTTGTTGGTTTTTTGTGGACTTAATTATATTCCTATATACGCACATAATTTCACATTACATATGTGTTTGATGACAGCGTATTTCATTCGAAATTCAAAATATGTGATGAGGATTCATAAACACATGTGTATAAACGTACAAACATATATGACCTTTTTTCTGCTATTCTCATATTTCTCTTTTGTTTTTTTTCTTTTTTGGTTTATTTTTCTTGTGTATTTGGCGTCTCATGTCTAGATTTCGTCCTCTAGTTTGTTTGTGTTTTTTCCATAATCAATTGATTTTTGCCCCTAATTAATGGTTTTCTTCTATATATACATATCGATTGGGGCTGACTTGTCTATATGTGGGTGTGCTTGTGTTTTTTTTTTTCATTAACCAGACAATTATTAAAAATTATTTATTATTTGGCAGTTAATAAGCGTGGCATTTCGTTGGCTCATTTGTTGTTTACCCAATGATAAACATCTATTTTCATACCAAAAATATAAAACACAAAAGGTGTAATATTTGTTGGTCAACAACATTGGCTGGGCATACAGTTTTTGTTAGCGCTATAATGGACTTTTGTGTAGATTAAAAAATAATAATAATATTGATGATTTTTGAACACATTCCAATGAAAATATATATTTATTTTTAATAAAATTGTTCTAAAGTTTGGTAAATAAACAAATATCTGCATCCGAACTTTTCGTCTTTTTATATTTTCCCTTCTTCAAATGTGTTTCTAACCTAACACCCTGTTTATATATTTTAAATTCCAGACCGACGAAGACAAATCCCCAACATCACCATCTTCGCCCAGTCGTGAAATAAATAAACTGAAAGATCAACTGGAACAGCAGGCAATGCAAACACGCCATGCTCTAACGCAGCTAATGATGGTGAGAGAACAATTGATATCGGAAACGAATGCACGAATTGAAGCCCAGGTATGGAAATTAAATTGTATTTTTTTTTTAATTAAAACTAATTTAAAAATTATTATTGTTATTTTAGGCTCGCACACAACAATTGTTACAACAAAATCGTGAACTACTGGAACATTTAGCCTCATTGGGTGCATACAATGAACAGCAGGCGCCTGGCTTGACCACAGCCAATATAGGAATGGCACCTCAGGTGAGTTTAAATGTTAACCGAGTTTATTATGTTTTTGCATGGATTTCAATTACTATTTGTTGTTGCAATTTTTTTGAGGAAATGTTGCCACCTTTTATACATATATTTGCTATATACATATATAATTTTTTTCAATTGCTGTATTATTTTTTCATTTATTGTTGGCGCATGTCGATTTCATTGCTACTTTACCGTTTGTTATTTATTTAGTTTTTTTGTACGGATGTCAAAACAATTAAATGAAATGATATATAAATTAGCACATCCGCTTGTTTTTTTTTATTGAAATGAAAGACTAGAATATCCATAACTGGAAAACCGATAAACCGGTTACGCAAAATTTTATTATTAACATACTCACATATTCCGTTAGCTCTAAAGTTCGGGATTTTTGTGTTAAACAATCGGATATTGTTGAGTCCTAGTCATTGTGCGATTTCATTCTGAAATTTATGTCATATAATTTCGTGCAAACGAAAGAAATGTGGGGACTTTGGTGCTCCATTAATATAAAATCGGACGAAAATATATATGGGAGCTATATTCAAATCTGAACCGATTTTCAAGAAACTTAGCTCACATCATTCCAGACTCATTTCGATACCATATGAAAAATTTCGTGCAAATCGAAAGATAAAGATATATTTACATAAAATCGGACGAAAATATATATATGGGAGCTATATCCAAATCAGAACCGATTTTCACGAAACTTAACACACATCATTCTACACTTAATTCAGTAAACTATGTCAAATTTCGAGCAAATCGAAAGATATATAGGGACCTGCGCCAAATAAATGAGATGTGCCAAATTTCATCCAATAGGGATTATAAACGCGACCTGACTTTGTTTACAGTTTAACATGTACAGACAGACGGAAGGACGGACGGAATGCTTATTCTCAAAAGGAACCTTGTGTCTATCTCGTTTCCTTTTACCTGTTACAAACATATGCACAAAGACATAATACCCTGTACCTCAGTGTGGTGAAAGGTATAAAAACCGGAAAATTAGTGTCCTGAAAATTTAAAATGCCCGAAACAATAAATGGGGCGGGAAAAATATACATACATACATGAACATTTCAAAAAAATCCACCTACGATCATTCAAATATACAAATTTGTGCAAGACCTTTATAAAATTTTCAGCATGTAAATATTTCAGTCTTCAAGGATGCAAACCTTTGAAACCCTAAATTTTAGACCGCTTTATCAAATTTTCTATTCCAAATATCCTATCACAGCTCTATCGTAAATATTGTTAGAAGTGTCGTGATTTAAAAGAGAGGCGACCAGGGCTTAGTCTACAAAGAACTTTATTCTGATATAGGTCTCCGACTAAAATGTCAAGATGTTGCAAACTTTGGTGCATGGCATAAAACCATTTATTTGAACAAGCCAATATTTTTATGCTCTTAGTCTTAAAGCGATCGATTTTAGATCATAGGTGTCTTTGTAACAAGTTTGTTTCAGACAATTTGGATTTGGAAATGTCCGTCCGTCTGTATTGTGCGTACAATAACTTCCAAAGGGGTCCACACTTTTTTCTTCCAAATTTAAATCAAGTTCGAAGATTGGGAATGGAATGTTAATCGCTTTTTGGTTTGGTATCTCCCATGCCAATTTGTCAAAATTTTGCCAAAACTAACTGAGATTCCGAGTGGGCCAAACATTACACATCGTAATATGTGTACCGAACAAAGACCAAATAGGAAAATGGATATATTGGTCCACTTCTTCTAACTCTCCCACAGATTATGATAAATCATATTTGGGTTAAACTTGATAAAATTTAATATTTGTACTTAACATAGATTTAATGCAAATATCGGACAAGAGAGGCCCACAAATATTCAAGATACTAGGAAGATAAAGTATACAAAAATATTCTTCATTCACTTTGACTAAAGACATGTCATCTCAATAATAACCCGAAGAAGCTACAAACAGTAATACAAAGATTTTGGAATTTTAGAGTTACCAGCAAAAAAACAATCTTAACACCATTTAACAAACGCATGATCTATGGCGAATTTGTCCTTCTGGTTTTTTAATATGCTCAAAATATTAATATTTACACCGACAGAGATTTTTAAACGGTATAGATACAACTCGGTAATTTTACTGTTATTACAGAAACTTTTACTGTTATTTTAGAAACTTAAATCCCACGGGAAACTGTCTAGAAATATCCTTATGTTCCAATTAATGTTATAACGAGCATAACATTCATTTAATTGCAGTTGCTTTGCATACTTTTAGGCGCTCAATTATAAATGTGATTTTTCCCAGAAATAAGGTGTTATTGACAATTTTTAAGCAACAAAATGAGTAAAATAATTAAATGATAGTTAAAATGCAGTACCAATTATTCGGATCTTACGGAAATAAACTATATTAAGAATTATTTTTATCTCTCCAAACAATTTTCTTCCAATTTTGAACTTGATATGTATTTATATTTTGCTTCTTTGATAATGAATTTTAATTAAAGAGTACATTATTCTTTGATTAATCATAATTACTAATTAATATAATACTTATGCTTCCTTCGAAAGTACTTCAACCATATACCCAACATACGTTTGGGTATCACTTAATCGGTCTTCTCCGACTTTCTTTATTAATTTAAAAAATAAATGTTTCGATTATTTTTATTAAAAAACCTTGGCTGGCATGTGAAAAAATGTATTTTATTATGTTTAAAATAATGTGTTTATGAACTTTTTTATGTCAACTAGTGTTTTGTTTTTTTTTTTACGCCAATATGTTTGCTGCTTCTGCTCCCTTTACAATAAATGTGCTTTCATTTTGTGTTAACAATGTTAAGCATGGCTGTTTAAAGATCCAGTGTAATTATATCAATATATTCAAAGAAATACAATAATCTTCAACGTTTCCATTATTTCCTTGATTTCTTTTCCATCGCTCGCAAACATAACTTTAGAATCATCTACAAATGTTACTGCAGGCCACAGCTGGTAATGCCAATAATAATTTGGCCACAATTAATCAGCAAATTAATAATTTGGGTACCATCAATCAACAACTGACATCGCTCAGTCATCAACTAAGCGGCCTGAATCAACAAACACAAAATCTACAAAATTTTCAACAACAACAGCAGCAACAGCAAACCCCCACATCGGCATCGTCGTTAGCTCAGCAACAAAACAATGCCCTACAAACACCAACATCATCATTTAGCCAATCGCAATTACATCTTAATGTTTCTGGAGCAAGCACAGGCAATCTGACCACCAATACATTGTCGACCAGCCCCTTCCCATCGATGAATCAATTACAAAATATTACATCACAACTGCAGCAGCTGAGCGCTTCACCAAATGTCCAACAGCAACAGGAGGCCCTGTCTAAGGATCTGTTTCAGGTCAATCAGGAACTACTGAATCGACTGCAAGCATTAAATTTGGGAGCCAGTGGAGCGACATCGGCTTCTGCCCTGGCTCTACCCAATGGTGGAGCCACAACACCCTCCTCCTTCTTCTATGTCAATCCGATGTCATGCAGTCCCTCAAACAATAACAACAATGCCAGTAGTAATTATAATTTCTTAAGCACTCCCACACCCAGTTCTATGGGCAATTTAACGCCCTCACCCATGGGCACCCTTAATCGCAACTCGTATTCCAATTCACCGTTAACTCTAAACGACGAAATACAATTGAGTTTGGATAAAAATCTGAATGCGCTCGATGAGCATTTGATGAAACCATTCAATCATCAGCTAACACAGTCGGTGTCAAATGGCAATATAGCCGGTTCCGGTGGCGGATCCAGAGAGAATAGTCGTTCATCGTCAACGGTGGACTCGCCGCTGTCACAAATGGTGCGCAGCACATCAAATTTAAATAGCAACAATAACAACGATATGAGTCCATCATCTTCAAATTCGCCACGTTACAATACGGTTACCCTCAAGGTTACCGACGAAGCCGGCAATGTGACAAATCAGCGTAAACTATCCGCAACTCCGAGTTTTATACAACGTAGTACCAGTGAAAAAGTACCAAATCGTAGTCAAATTATGAGTCAGGTGCAGAGAACTGCATGGGCTAGGCATACAACTAAATAACAATGGGAGATATTTGATTAGAGGGGCGAATGTTGTTGAAAATGAGAACAACATTGTGAGAAAGTTGATAAAATTTTTTTGAGCCGTATTTAAAGGGTAATTTGATTTGTAAATATGGTAAATAGTGTTTGAAATAATGAGAAAATGATTCAGAAAGTTTCAAAGAAATTTATGGAAACATTTTATAATTATAAAATATATAATTTTATAAATTTTATAAACTTCGAGTCTATTCACTATTTAATGTGTGATTGTTGTGCATAAAAACTGCGTATTGTTTTAATTCTAAATATTAGAAAAGCAAACATGTATGGAGACGCACTTTTAATTCCCAGTCAGTAAAATTTCAGTGAAATCCGCAAAGATCCAAAGAAAGTCCCATCAAATTCTCGATATTTCAAAGCAGTTTTTTTTTTCCAATTTATGAGTTTTACCAGAGAATTTGTCTTTGGGTGTGGAACCCAAAAAAGGACTTTCATAACGTGGTATGATATCCATTTAACTTTGATCCGAAGAAAAAAATATTGTTCGGAAACCTCATAATAATATATTTTAGATCACAAATTTTATGTCGACTTAGCCATGTCCGTCTGGATCTCTGTCCATTGCAATCACGATAGTATTCACAATTTTTAAGATTGAGGTTTTTAACTTTGTACAAATATTTCTACTATAATTCGGATGTTTGGTATTGCAAATGGGACATATAGATTCAGATATATTCGTTTTGAAAAAAAGTGAATCGCATCTTTTCGAAGTGACTGCAATTTGAAATTGTGCCTTCGTGGCGTTTAAAAATATCATTCATTATAAGTCCATATTTTCAAAAAGCCCCCATAAAAACGTCCCACCCGGTTTTCAGTAAGGCGAAGGTCATGCGAAAATTTTCGTATTCTCATAAAAACTCCTAACGGGAGTCTTTATTTTGACATGCATAACCTCATTTTATGGTCCTGATCCTATTTTAAAGTCAATAATTCGGAAGGTTCATAAAACAAAACATTTAATTAAAAACTATTTCCTACGGATTAAACGGAACGATATAGTTCAATAAAAATGCGGAGTGAACCAAAAAAGATCGAACTGGTTCAGGTCAAAATTACTCCACTCTAAGGATTCTGATAAAAATTCTCTCGTTCTCTTAGTTCTTTATGATCCAATCTTCTAGTTTATTGGCCAAATTAAATAACGAGTACCAATGAACGATTGAACTTGAATGAACTATGGAACTAAATGAGTAACCTTACGCGGAGTGAACCAAAAATGATCGATCCGCTTGCGGAACAAGATTGCTTAACTCTAAGGATTGTATTAAAGAGATTAGCGTCGTATATACCACATTCGTCGGAGTTCACATATCAATATTTTGCTTATGTGAAATACGTGTAGGGTACCAAAGAACTAATATATATTTTTTTGAAATTTGAACAATCCCAAGTTTTTAATAATTATACAATTTATAACGAATTGTTTAATCTGGACATATTTGAGTTTTTAGATTAATCTATATCACATGTGAAATCCCTCATTATTTCAAACATTTTGCCAAAGAAGAACCCCGAAATTCCTTTCCCATCTCAAATACCACCAGATTTTATCAACAATCTCTCGCAATATGTATGTGAAACCATACACAAATCTTTAGTATTTAATTAAAAAAAAAAAAAATAATTTTATTTATTTTAAAATAATTTTAAATAAAATAAACCTGAATGGAGTATTAAATATTCCATTCACTATTATTTTTATTATAAGCTAAAGTATTATGTATGAAAAAAATAAATAAATAGTTTTGTTCCCAACTACTTTATTTTTAATTCAATTGAATGTTCGTTTAATTGTTGAAAATATTTTAATTTAATTGCCCTACCTTACCAATCTAGAGATTGTTTATTTTTAGTAATGAATTTATATATTTTTAATTATATATGATTAATTATTATAGGATTATTATTTTTATGTAAATATATACATATATATGAATGATGTGTGTAAAAATTTATATACAAACATAATATATGTAATAATATATATAATTTTTTATTTTGTTTTTCTTTTTTCGTTCTTCGTCAATTTACATAGTTACATATGTATATGTGTATAGAATTAATGGAAATTTGAGAAATTGGAAATACAGTTCACAGTATTAAATTGAAAGCAATCAAAGAAAATAACGAAAGAAAATTTCCAAGGGATAATCGATTTTCATACTTTTTTTCAATAAATGTTAATTGGTTTCAAAAGAAACCCAAAATAAATTGGAATTTTTAGGAAATAATTAAAAGAAACAAAAAGTAATTGCCATGGAAAATTCTTTCAAATTAATAACAATTTAGGAAAAAAATATATAGAATGTCATAAATTTTGTGTTGGTGGTAGTTGAAGTGCTTAAAATTTGCGATTTCAATTATGTATGGATCTTACGGCAGAACCATACTTGATACTATCAAAACTTGACATACTTAATTGATCTAGCTATACATCCGTCCGAATGTCCGCATTTCGTCATGAAAACACTTGACCAACCAGTAAGGAAAGTAGTATAGTCGGACGGGGCCGACTATATGATACCCTTCACCACTATGGGTATATTAAACAGAACTATTAATATGAAATTGGATGAAATAAAATATGTGATATTTATCTAAATGTGAATCGACTTAGATCTATCCATAAACATGTCATAAATCGACTTCAAACAAATATCAATAGGTCTGTACTTCAGGAAAACGCAACTAAAAAAATTGAGCATAGAATTACGCTCACTTTTGTACGTTGTGCAAAATTTGATGTCAATCTGACTAACATGAGGAGTGCGATGTCCAATTTACTTAAAATCGGGCGAAAATATATATGGAAGATATATCGTAATATGAACCGATTTCAACGAACTTGTCACAGGTTAGGGAATACAAATTTCAGTACGTTTTGTTCCTATCAGCCATATATTAAATCCTTGATATGTCAATTACATAAAATCAATCTATAATATAACGGAGCTATATCTAAATCTGGACCGATTTTCACAAAACTTGGCACACATCAGTCTGGACTAAATTCAGTACGCTATGCCAAATTTCGTTCAAATCGACGGATATATATCGACTTTGGTGCACCATTTACCTGAAATCGGACAAAAATATATATGGGAGCTATATCTAAATCTGGACCGATATTCTCGAAACCTGGCAGACATCACTCTACGCTCAATTCAGTACGTTATGCCAAATTTCGTGCAAATCGAAAAAAATATATAGGGACTTTGGTTCACCATTTACATGAAATCGGACTAAACTATATATGGGAGCTATATCTAAATCTGGACCGATTTTCACGAAGCACGGCACACATCAGTGTGGACTAAATTCAGTACGCTATGCCAAATTTCGTGCATATCGAAAGCTATTTAGGGACTTTGGTGCACCATTTACATTAAATCGGGCGAAAATATATACGGGAGCTATATCTAAATCTGAACCGATTTTTCCAAATTTCAATAGGGTTCGTCCTTGGGCCAAATGAATGAGCTGTACCAAATTTCATCCAATTCGAATAATAAATGCGGCCTGTACATTGTTTACAATTTAACATGAACAGACGGACGGACATGCGTAAATCAACTTAGAAAGTGATTCTATGCATATTCTCAAAAGGAACCATGGGTCTATCTCGATTCCTTTTGTCTGTTACAAACATATGCACAAAGACATAATACCCTGTTCCACAGTGTTGTGAAGGGTATAAAAATGGCCAAAGACGATACATATGGTGTATGCTAATGTCGGTTAGCACTAAGTGTATCCTATGGTCCACAAAATATTATTTTTGTCTGTTTTCCTAATCGCTCTACAGACTAGGCTTATGACGTAATGCTGCACAATTCTACTCGGGGAAAGGAATATGGGTAACGAATAAGCATGACTGTTTTGGTAATAATATATCAACATTTAGCGGATCAAATGAAACTAGACTTTTTTGTGAAAAACATTAAACTGTTCATTCTATGGAGTTTAATCCATTAAGGCATGCTATGGAAAAAATTCCAGTGTAATGAAGAAGAAGTGTTCACTCTTAAATTTATATAAATTGTATTAATGTTCGTAGAAGGATATGGGTGTTACTCATAACCAGTGGTGGGTATAGCTAAGTGAGAGTAAATGTAGGTGAGCGTAACTGAGAATTTATGACCAGAAATGAGGAAAGGAGAACAAATGAGACTGCGTTTTTTTAACATTTATGGTAACGTATGCTTTTGGGAAGTTTTGAGCATCAATGCTCTTAAACTAGTGAGCGGAGCAGTATAGTCGGACGGGGCCGACCATATGATACCCTACGCAACTTCCACGAAAATCTAACTTTCTGTGGTTATAAATTCTGAGCATGGAAAATATTTAGCTATATTTGCACCCTCTTGACCGACTAGAGGTCAACAAATATTACTATATATTGACTCGAAAAACTCCAAAAATTAGGTTTTCGGTCCACATCATCGCGATATTATTATCTGATCATCACCAAAAATTATAGGCGTTATCCTTGACCATACCTGGAAAATCCTCATGGGAAATTTCAAAGCGATCCGCGCTGTATTTCCGCCTCTAGTGTTGTAATATGTTACTAACTAATATCTGAGTACGTAAGCACCTGTAAATATTTAAATGTAACTCCCACATCCGAGTACATACGACAATATAATTGGTAGCAATTTCTCCGCTCTATGCCATTCAGGAGTAAATATATACGCTACAGAATACAAATTTTGTAATTTTTCACACAAAAGTAAGGGTCCATTTGACCCGCTAAATATTGACCGATCTTTATCAAAGCAGGCATGCTTATTCTTTGGCCCAATCCCCTTCTCCATGCAGAAATTCGCCATGTTTGGGCCATAACTGCGGCCTCTAGAGCGTCCAAAAAATCAGACAAAAATTTAGTTTTTGGTCCATTTCATTCCCCAAATATTAACCGATCTTTACCAAAAACAATAGGGGTCTTCATTGGCCAGAACCCATTCA